CAGACTATAAAACTAATACCTGTGTATATCTTTGTAACAATGAACATCAAGGATATGTATCCAAGTACTCAAATATAATTTAATATAATTTAATGGAACAGCATTGGTTTAAAGAGAGTTCTCCGGTAGACTTTAAGGTACTTGCACAATTACCACATTTTATTCTAGATCAGGTAAATTATTTCTTATTTAATGGGGAATGGTATCAACAAGGATTGAAGGATTGCCACAAGGAGACGGGGCCTCTGGGTTATTAGCAACAATTTATGTCGATTCTAAATTTGAAATACATCATAATGCAATATTCGTAGCGGTTTTTAGAAGTGAAATTTTAGCGGTTTTGGAAGTGTAGCGACCCAGTTGGCTGTGCATTTATTGAGATTGAAAACCAAAATTCAATTTCAAAATTTTCAATGATCGCGAAAAAGTTTAAATTTTGAAAATATTAACTCTCAAGTGAAATATCAAATTACTGAACCGTGATGTCAGTTGCAGACGAAGGCGTAGTGATGACTTCAAATAGTGGAAGTGGCGTAAACCGTGTGGCAGTGAAGGTGCCGCCATTTTGGCACGAGCGACCGGAGATTTGGTTTGCTCAAATCGAGGCGCAATTCGCAGTAGCTGCCATCTCGAGTGACGTCACACAGTTTAGAAGTGAAATTTTAGCGGTTTTGGAAGTGTAGCGACCCAGTTGGCTGTGCATTTATTGAGATTGAAAACCAAAATTCAATTTCAAAATTTTCAATGATCGCGAAAAAGTTTAAATTTTGAAAATATTAACTCTCAAGTGAAATATCAAATTACTGAACCGTGATGTCAGTTGCAGACGAAGGCGTAGTGATGACTTCAAATAGTGGAAGTGGCGTAAACCGTGTGGCAGTGAAGGTGCCGCCATTTTGGCACGAGCGACCGGAGATTTGGTTTGCTCAAATCGAGGCGCAATTCGCAGTAGCTGCCATCTCGAGTGACGTCACACAGTTCAACACGGTATTGGCAGCGATTGAGTCAAGTGTCGTGGCCGATGTGAGTGATGCAGTGCTTCATCCTCCTGAAACTGGAAAGTACGCCAATTTGAAGGCTCGCATCATAGAACGCTACAGTGAGAGCGAGCAGCGAAAGATTCAACGGTTGTTGTCGGAGGTTGAACTTGGTGATAGACGGCCAACACAGTTGCTAACGGAGTTGACAGCATTAGCTAAAGACAAGGTGAGTGATGAGTTCCTTAAGTCTCTTTGGCTGAAGCGTTTGCCACCACAAGTGCGCGCTATTCTGCAGGCATCGAACGTGGCACTGGCAGAACTGGCGAAATTGGCAGACCGTATTTGCGAGGCGGGTGATTTTCAACAGATTGCAGTAGCATCAGCCTCTAATTGTTCAGCCTATTCTGAGAATGCTGTGATTATAAAAAGGCTTGAGCAAATCGAACAGCGTCTAAGTCGTTTGGATGTACGCCGTGGTGAGTCGGTGCAAAGTCGATCGTTATCAAGAAGGCGTAGGCGCCCTCGTTCCCGACCAGCAAGTCATCCAGATTGGTGTTGGTATCACGTCGGGGTCACCAATTTAGCAATGATTGTAACTCTTTGCTAATTAATAGAAATACCACTAATTGACAATATTAATGAAACTTTATTCAACTTTTTTCACGAGTCAAATTCGAAACGTTTTCCTCAATCCCTATTAAAAACTTAAAAATATTTGAAATTGAATTTTGGTTTTCAATCTCAATAAATGCACAGCCAACTGGGTCGCCACAGTACTCCCTCCTAGCGATGGAGTACCAGCAACAACGCGACACCATAACAAAGTCGTCAGCTTAAGAGAGTAATTTTGACATGCAGACTGACCGTTTGCCCCGTTGGCAAGCCGCGCCGTGTCAAAGTGTTTGAGAGTGGAGAACGTTGAAGAGATTTGATGAAGTCGACACCACACAGACTTAATCCCGAAATTCCGCTAACCTTGCTGGGAAACGCGCTACTCTACCAGCCCGCGTCACTTTCGGAATCGGCGACAGGGATTCACGCCTACAATCACCAGCAGTCACTGACTGATCACCATTCAACAGAGCTGAAGGCTGGCGCGTTTCTGGAACAACCTGCCCAAGGCCATCACATGATAAGTACGCCGCCTTCAACCTGTCATTCGAAACTGTCACCCCTCTTCCACGACAAACAACAACCGACGGCTTCTCACTACGTCTCAGCACCTCAAATGGACCTTCGTAAGGCTGCTCAAGTGGAGCTCGCGCACGATCCACTCGAAGAAAAACGTGCTTACAATTGCTAATGTCACGCGGAACATACACAGATGGGTGACAGTGCCTCGTTGACTCAACGGATTTAACCTTAGCTAAAGCCCTTCGCAACGCCGAAACAAAATCTGTCTCGGGCGATCTCTGCTTGAATTCCGAAAGCATCTGCCCCGGAACACAAAGAGGATTTCCAAACAACATCTCTGCAGGAGTAGCATTTAGGTCTAATTTCGGTGTCGTTCGCAATCCTAACAACACAAGCGGAAGAGACTGCGTCCAACTGCTTGAGGAATGACATCGAATGGCCGCCTTCAATGTCCTATGGAAACGTTCGACCATACCGTTTGCTTGAGGGTGATAAGCTGTGGTATGAAAATGCTTCACTCCAAGCAACCTTGTCAGTTCCCGAAATACAGCAGACTCAAATTACCGACCCAAATCAGTGGTAATAGCCTGCGGAGAACCAAAACTTGCCACCCAACCATCGATAAAAGCCGCTGCAACTTCCTCTGCCGTGATGCCAGCCAGAGGCACAGCAACAGGCCACCGAGAAAAACGATCGACGCAAGTCAAACAATAACGCTTCCCCTGAGACAAAGGCAATGGGCCCACAATGTCAACATGATCATGCTGGAACCGACTATCAATATCAGCAAACGAACCAATTGGTGTCTTAGTTTGCCGCTGAATCTTGGACTTCTGACACGCAATGCAACTACGCACAAATATAGCCACATCCTTAACCAAACCAGGCCAAACATACCTAGCCTGCACCAACTTTCGCGTTGCGCGAACACCAGGATGAGCCAAAGCATGGAGTTTTATAAGAACCAACTGCCGACAGTTTGCAGGAACAAAAGGACGAACACGACTGCCTGACACATCACAGTACAGTTCAATACTCGAATCCGGCAGCCTCAACTTCTTCAAACCAACACCATCATCAGACTGGCTCTGCAGCTGAGCGAGCAACTCTGCATCAGTCTTCTGCCCCTCAGCAATTAACTCAATCTCATTTGCCTCCAACTGAACTGTAGCAACCCGAGACAAAGAGTCAGCCACCGTATTATCTGCACCAGCCAGACGGATATCAGTGCAATACTGACTAATAAACTTCAGCTGTCGTGCACGACGAGGTGATACCTTCTCACTAATTTGCCTGAACGCAAACGTTAACGGTTTGTGATCCGTAAAAATGATGAAATCACGACCTTCCAATGCATACTTGAAATGCTGGACAGCTTGATAGATAGCGGTCAACTCACGATCATAAGCACTGTACTTAGTCTGCGCTAGACTCAAACCTTTTGAATAAAATGCCAACGGCTGAGTCACTCCTTTCACCACTTGTTGCAGAACAGCACCCACGGCAACATCTGCAGCATCAGTCGTGAGCGTCAATTGTGCATCCAGGGCCATAAAGTTAAGCAACGTAGCTTGGGCAAGATCATTCTTACAAGCCTCAAAAACTGCTATATCTTCCGGAGCCCAAGAAATCACCGACTTATCATTCTTACGGTTACCTGGTGTAAGATGAAACAACCGCTGCTGATTTTGCAGAAGTATTCAATGGAATGCATTCCATTTTAGAATATTTAAACTCTGCTTACTCATTTTTAACAAAGGTTGTCTCGCATAAAATTCTATTTGTTTGTATACAGTTTTGCGTAAGTCATTACAGTAAAATTATTTGCTATTTGCAAGTACATCGAAACGTAGTCGGTATTCAAAATAGTTCTAACGCTATTCACCTACAAAAATTTTATTGTCGATAAAAGTGAAATTGTTATTTTTTACACAAATTGTACTTGAACGCATTTAGTATATTATTTATATTTGTTTTGTATCTAAGTTATTGTGATAAAAACAAACTTGCATTTTAACTTAAAATGTAAGAAAAATTATAAATATTCAAAATTTTGTAGCAGTAATATAGTTGTGGCGACATCACGTAAGTCGATAAATATCTGCGCTTGTTTTACGTTGTAAAACAGCAATCATATTATTAGAACAATTTAGATCGTAGCAATTACGGCATTCTCTTTCAATACATTTAATAAAGCAATTTGTGTAAATATTATTTTGATTCAGAAAAAACACCGCCATATAGCTGATGCGTAAACTCTTAGGGAACAAAGAAGTCTGTCCAGCGGTGAAACATAAAGTTTTCGAGACGGCAGTTAGAACTATAGTAACATATGGGGCAGAAGTTTGGGGTGTGGAGAGATATGAAGAACTGGAAAAATTACAAAGGAACTACATTAAACGTGCATTTCATCTACCAATAAACACACCGAACTATATGTTACATTTGGAAACTGGATTACCGTCGTTACATATAAACACGCTTAGACAACATTTCAGATATATAAATCGAATACTAGTTTTAAAGGAAAGTCATCTGACAAAAATAGTAACTCAAAAATTATTAAGCAATAAAACCTTATTTTTCAAAAACTGGATGGATATGGCAACAGAATTAGATGAACCTTTACAAATACAAGAGACTAGATCCTGGAAAATATGGCAAGAAGCTATAATAAGTAAGCAAACAAGCAAAGAACGAGTACAATTCGAGTACGCTGCGAGAACGAGCCTAACGAGATCAACGTACAGTAAACTAAATTACGATTTGAAGGATAACAATTATTTTAATTCCAAGTACAGAGAAATAGATATTACAAGAATATTTAAAACACGTGGCGAACTATTACGCTTGGCATATATTCCTTACGAAAGCCAAGTAAATGTAGACTGCACCCTTTGCAATCTTGGTGTAATCGAAGACGTCCAACATTTTATGGGGATCTGTCCTATATTACAGGAGATTAGGTTTAAGTATTTTAGAAAAGTATCTTTAGAAAAAACAGATGTAATTTCATTATTAAATGGAGAAAATTGGTTCTTGCTTAGCGCTTTTATTAATGAAGCAACTATTTATAGAAAAAAAATAATGGACGAAATATTTTGAAAGAATTTTAAATATTATATAAATTAACATGTACACCTTTTAAATGCATTTTTATATAAATATGAAAGTTGTACGTTAAAATTAACATAGAAAAAAAAAAAAAAAGAAAGGGTGTAATAATATTAAAATAATAGAAATATTGAAACGAATAAATTAAAATTAAATATTAAATTAGGCGGAGGAGTTTTGACTCGTAGCCTTCTTATACACAGCTGTTATAAAAAATCTGTAAATTTGTAATTTTAAATTCAATTGAATAAATATAATTAACTAACTATAGCTGGTGCAGACAATTGCGTGGCTAAATACGTTAGAAAACCATCAAACGGGTATAGAGAAATATTTGAATTCAAAATATTACCATTACCCCAATTGGACTGTCCTACTCGATGGGGATCAACATACCATATGGTTGAACGGCTTAATAAAGCAAAAGACATATTAAGTCATATTGAATCAGTAGAAAACAAAACGGAAGATGAAAATTTCGACGCCAATGAGTGTTTTTGGGATTTTAATGCTAGCTACTCAACCGTTCTTAATCCATTACAAAAAACTATAGTCAAGTTTCAAGAAGAACAATTACATTACGGAAATTTTTATGCTTTGTGGTTGAAATGTAAATTATCTACTAGTAAAATTTTAGCATCACATTCAGAAAATAAAAATGCAATTATTTTTCAAATTGGTCAAAGTCTAATGGAAAGCATAGAAACAAGGACTCATAAACTATTATCAAATGCAAGCTTGGATACTTGCTTGTTTTTAGACCTAAGATTTTATCAAATGCTAAATGATTCTCAGAGAGTTGAAGCTGTAGCTTATTTAAAAAAATTATGGGACAAAATTAAATCACATGACCCTAAACTTCTTCATTCATCTAATCCATCCCACTTAACGGCAACGGAAAGTGTACAGGTGCTGGAAGAAAATGACGACGACCTTCTCAATGAATATTTAGCTGCTAATTTAGTACCCACTGATGAATCGATTGATGTTTATTCAAAAATTGAGAGATTAAATTTTCCTTTCATGAAGGCTAGCTTAAATGTATTAAATTTTTGGAAAGAAAGACAGTGCAGCGATCCAGAACTTTATGCACTTAGTAAAGTGTGCTTTGCCATTCCGCCAACACAAGTAAGCTTCATCATCCATTATTGCATCTAAATGTTATAATTTTTTTTTTAAGGGCACCATAGAACGTGCATTTTCATCATTAAAATTGATTTTGGCAAATAATCGTAATCGTCTTAATCATGACACGTTAGAAAATATACTGCTAGTAAAACTTAATCCCTCCTTTTTAGATCAGTCAATAGAAAATTTGCCTTTATTCGAAGAAAATGAAGATGAATAAACACAAATCAATTTAATTTATGCATATTGTAAGCAAGAAGTATAGACAAGAATTTTGTTCAAAAGATTGCTAAACTCAATGTAATTTTATTTAGTTTTTTAATTAATTTTATTTAATTACATAAGATTTATTTTTCCCTGACAAATAAACTAATTATAAAATAATTATATGAATAATGAATAAGAATAAAAAGATATGATCACCACTATTTTTTTTTCAATAAATCACAGTTCCAATAATTTAAATTCAATTATTACATTTCTTTTTTATTTATTTCATTTACAAAAAATATGAAGCATATGCTGCGGAGTACTAGTGCTAGTACTAGTACATGATACTAGTGGCCTGGACAGAATTGTTAATATGTTAGTTACTGATCTATTACCCATTGATGTGATTAGAGGGCAGGGTATAAAACAATTAATCGCTGATATAGAAGGTATCGACAATAATTTGGTGAGTACAAAATTTATAATATAATATATATAAATATATATATATATAAATAATATTTCTGTGAGAGTCCTAATACTACTACTATATATAAAGTCTGTTCCACGAGCTACTCGTAGTAACTTTGAGTAAGACTATATATAACAAATACTTTCCACCAGCAAATTTTCAAGTAAATGAGAGCATCTGAGAGAGCGTAATATCCCTATCGAAAGTTGAAAATGCTACACAAACTTTACTCGTACAATTTATTTCAAGTAAAATTTGTGTGAATCAGCTGTTTTGGTTTGAATTTAAATTTTTGTATTGTTTATTTTCGCGGCATTGGTGTTCTCACCAAACTTTACACAAAGCTATTCCATGAAAATCTGTGTAAAGAGCGTAATTTGGCACTTTATTTGTGTTAAGCTCTCAGTTTATACTTTACTTATGTTTTACTTGAGTTTTACTACGACTAGCCCGGTAGTTGCTCCGGAGCAGTAGTAATTGCTACGGGATCAGTAGCCGTAGCATGCACACAAAACACAATTTGCTTTGCTCTGCTCAGCTACTATTCTGTTTTGTAGCACAGCAACAGCAAGAGCAACAATTTTAAAATTTGACGACTGCTACGAATATCAGTAGCATATATTTTAATTTTTTGCTCTTGCTCTTGCTCTTGCTTCGTGCTTCAACAAATCAAACAGCATAATATAGCAGAGCAACGCAAATTTTGTTTTGTGCTTCTGCTGTCATAAGTGCTCCGTCAAATTCAGAGTAGAAGCAGGAGCATAGCATTTTTTTCGTTACTATTGCTGCTACGGAATAGTAAATTCAAATCCTGAATTTTAATCATACATTAAATAGAAATATTTGATTATAATAGCAAGTACACAAAATAGTGATAGCATGTTTACATTACGAACTTAAGGCAACGAACTTTGCTTAAGTTGATTTAGTGTTTACATTATCGTATGGGGTTTTCATTTTGACTGTTGTTGTTTTTGTTATCTTTATTTGTTTACATTTTGACTCTAGTGAAAATTTTGTTTGAAAAATCAATGAGTTTTGCTTACTATATAGGTGTGACTGTCGATATTTAATCACAGTAAACTGAGTTACAATTTAAATTATATTGACAACACAAAATTTGTAAAATTAGATAGAAAAACATTTTCTTCAGATAAGTTTCAACTTTCCGGCTGAATTAAAATAAACGGAATTTAATAAATAATTTTCGAATTTAAATATAGCTTATGTACTTTCATTTTCATTAAAGTACAAAATCAGCGCTATATATATATTGGTAGAAATTATGGATCAAAATATTATTGCATTGCTCTGCAGTGAATCTGCACAACAAAATAAAATACTTGATAATAAATTTAAATGTATACGAATAAAGCACCGTAAAATAATTATCAAAATATTACAACTAATAGCAGCAAATAAATATGGAAGGCCAAGAAGTCAATGGTTGCATGTAAGATTTTATGAAACATTTTTTATGAATATGTTCATATAACTATCAAAAATTTTTACAGGAAAGATACGGCCAGTTTTGGGAATGTTTCTAGTAACAGTGCAAATTTTTTCAAGGACAACATCCGCATGAATCGAGATGCTTTCAATATCATATGCAACAACGTTATATTGGTCGAGATATTGGCCGAAGTACCACCAGTTTCAGACAGAGCATACCACTGGTAAAGCACGTTGCGATGAATATAGTCTTTTTATAGACGTGTATGTTGGAGAGCCTGGTAGCTTACATGACAGCCGAGTTTTTGGTAGATAACAAGTGTATAGTACAGCATCATTTCTAAACAAATTTCCCAGCGGTTCTTTTGTGCATATCTGCGGTTCTGGATGTAATGCATTCGTATGCAAGGATTGTCATAGAAGCCACTTTTGATCGTATGCTAACAACGTTTCGTGGACTGTTTTATTTTATGGAACAACAAAGAACACTTTCAATAACAAATTTAATTATGTACTCATGCATATAGCATAATATATACTGTACACAGAATGATGTAGTTCATAACGAAGTCATTCAATGCTAATCATATTGATTCATTTACAAATGAGTTGCAAAGAATTGTTAAGAATAAAGCATATTCTACAAGTAAATTATGTATTGTTCTGTTTTAATTAAATAAAAGAATTCAACTCAATTTTTATATATTCAATTTAAATGATTTGATTTTAATAAATGATCAAACAACACTTTTTTAATAATAATAAAACGTGAATAATTAAAATAATAATTTTAATTATAGTAATAATGAAAACATTATTTTAAGCAAAGAAATAAATAATAATGACATTTTAAATAAAAAAATACATAAAATAAATAATAAATAAATAAAATAAATAATAAATAAATAAAATCAATAAAAAATAAATATTAATGTAGATTTGTTTATATTTTTACTGCACCGCTGCATCGCATTGCCAATCATTCTACATTCTACATTGAACCAAAAAGTGAACCAGATCAATTGCTGCTTCACCCCATTGTTTTTGTTTGCATGTAAAATTGAGCGGATCATGTTTGCTGAAACGCAGCTAATGATTTATTGGAGAAGTTATTTTTGAATCTATTTGAAAATACAAGATTTTTATACCGAAATATCTGACCGGCGAAGAAGTGGAAGAAATTTTGAATGATTTTAATGATGAAGACTTTTCTGATAATGATGAAAATTATACGACGGTACTCCACAAGCAGGTATGTGTTTGTTGATATATGTCGTTTATTTGTTTTTCTCACTAAGAAGAAAGCGGCTATCTTGTTTCTTATGTTACTTCTAATTGCCGGTATTGAACCTAATCCTGGTCCTGTTAAACCTTCCACCTCAACTTAGCACTGTTGTGTCTGCCACTCTATCATACGCAGAAATCAAACATCAGTGAAATGCAACAGTTGCAGTAACTGATGTCACCTTAATAATTGTTCAGGGTTGCATAGCCATACTGATTGGAATCTTGCTTTTAGAGGAGCTTGCTGTCCTCCAGCTCCTCTACACAGAAAATCTCCATTTTCGTCTACCTCTGGCAGTCCTTTTCCAATCAATGCATCATCTACTTCTCCTACCACTTGGCTATGCACTGTGTTGAAAAGAGTAATCTCTAGGACCACCATCTCCGTCCATTACAATTCTTGCAATGGCTGGTGTCACCTTAGAACTTGCTCTGA